AATGCCTACTATAACTTTTCTTTTTTTTTTTGCCATTCAGTGGCAGCAGAAACAAGTTGTGAACACAACACTGACATACCAGGTCAAGGCGATAAAGCGACCACTGTTAACTGCGCAAGTAGTGTACAGTGAGTTTTTAGAGCTCTTTCACTGTGGCTGAAAATCAAGCTATGAGAGCAGTGAGAAAGGAATAAACAGTAAGGTTGCAGGCCTGAACAATGAGCTGAAACACACTGTAAAGCCCTGTAAAGCCATGCGGAGCTGGATATTCAGGTGATTATTTTCTGTATCTTCATCTCTACCAGTGACCCTTTCACATAGTTTTCACTTTCATTCGATATATTGTCTGTAGAAATATGCTAGAGAAGAACTGCATGAAGTGGCTTTGAATGTTGGATTATCATTTTTTCTGCGTTTGTATGGGACTGAATGTAAATAGGAAGGATAAACATATACAAATCTCTTGTTAGACAAACACATTTGTTTGACTGTTCAGTCCTCGCATATGTATCACTTCATTTCTCAGCCCCCAGCTAAACACAGATGTATGCTTCCCAACCTACAGTTACTTTTCAAGGGTTCTCCGGCTTTAGAATGCATTAGAATTTTAATGTAACCACAAGCAGCTTCAGCACAAACTAGCACTTTTGATATCTAAACGCCACGAGCCTCCAGACATGCAGACATTCCTTTTCACCTACAGTAGCAACAAACACCATTATCGCTACTTAGGTGAGTGCTCCATGTGCTTGTAATTAGCCTCAGTAACTAGATTTGAGGGGTGCATACGGAAAAAGGACTAGAAAACCCAACAGCTCACAGGCTGGTTAGTCAGACTTTATCTTAGCTACCCAGAACTAAACTACAGTTTATTTTCTATTGATGTTTTCAAAGTCACCGTAATTGATAAAACACACAATTTCTATAATACAAGAGCCGTGCAGTGCATCCGCAGCAACGGCTGTGTTTTCAATTACACGTCAAACCGCAGGCACTTCAGCTGTAGGATATTGCGTGATGATGTCACCAGCATTGGGCCAGGAAACAATTTTGTCTTGTCACACGTCATTTTGAATCTAGCATAGCTTATTTAACTTACCCTAAAAAATAACAACTAATTTTATCTGGTTTGTGTCATGCAGTGCTCTTGTCAAGGCAGGGTGATGATTACAGTTGGGGCAGTCATTTCCTCTGTCCGGTGTTGATGTTACACACCTAGAGTAATTCAACATAATGCACTAGAGGTCAACAGTTTAAGTTCCAACTACTACATTTTGATAATATTTGATACAAAGGTGATATGAGCTGAGCATTTCCATGTACAACCACATGCTGTTACTTTGAAACGGCTCCTGTTTCTCTGCCTGGAAAGTGAATTGAAGCTGCTTCTTGAAGATAAGCAGTGATCTGCTCCCTAAGTGCATTGTTTGGCATCTGCATGTTCTTCTCAGCCAGCTGAATTGTTTTAAAGGTTTTTTGAGATCATGATCTCATAGAAACGCAGAAAAAGGACTGTAGTTTCAAATGTTGCCATTGTACTACCTTATTCAAGTAAACGACTTTGTTGTTTTCTCTCCAGTTTGAATTTATAATAGTTGTGACTTGATCATGAGGGATTTTGAACAGTCCACCCTGTCAGCTGTATCAATACAAGATTCAGCCAAAATAGCTTTTGCTAAAAATCAACAACTGCTTAATTCCCACTTTCAGACAGTCATTATTTAAACGATTCCCTAGGTTGAATAATGGAATATTTGTACCACAAGGATTGTCCTGACAACCCTGCTGAATTGTCATCTGTTTTCAGTACTGCCTAAGACGAAAACACTTTACATCAGGGGAACTCTCTGCTGGATATCCTGCTGTTCTTATCGGTTTGATAGTTGGCGGAAAATACCTCAGACACAGCTAAGATAAAAGCAGACAACGCAACACATATTTGGCTGAAATGGTGGCACAGAATCAACCTTGTGGTGATATAGTGACAATGTTCTAAGACATGATTGCAGGCTTGGCCTGCCAACAGGGTTTGTTAGTTAGTTAGACTGGAATTACAGGCAATAGAGAGCGCTATTATCCGGTATATAAGGCATGCACAACCTTAGGTGGAGTTTCCTTTTCTTCTCTATAAAATGTTGCCTGCTGACACGTCAGTGATGTTTGGGAATGGTCTAATCTAAAAACACCCAATTCCATGGGACGGTGGAGCAGACGATCATACTGAGTAATGGTATTTTTCCCGGCCTCCCATAAACATTCACTCAAGAAATATATACTAGTAACTGTCAGGAATACAAAAGGTGTCTCCAAGTAAATAATGCCAAAATTTTACAACTCTATAAAATATAGCTGAGATAAAACAGCAGGGGGGCCCTTTGAGATCTTCTTTAGATCATCTGAGCTTTTACACTTTTCAGATAGTGGCATCTTCTTGTTATAACTTCATAGTTTACCAAGCAGTCTGGCAAAGGCCAGTTAAAACACTGGAGAAACATTGTTTTCTGAAGTACGCCTGACAGAAGCTGATCGAGTGGTTTTCTGACTCGTCCATTTTACTTATTGGGAGACCAATATTGTAAAATGACTCCGAATGCAAATCAAATGACAGAATCCAATTCATGAGTCATGAACAGAGCTATGCAGTGGCTTAGAGTTACACCACAAGAACTACAAGTTAAATCCAATACTGCTGTTCACACAGTCAGTCAGAAATCAGTGAAAGGCTCCTTTCAGACGCCTGGACAGTGGGGGTCTACACCGCCCAGTTTTTGTAACTTTCCAAAACCGACAAACCAACAGCCACGTCCGCTGTTCTCAGTGACTGGCCAGGTGCGCATAGGTGAGAAATGGGAAGAGCTCTGCGTTCCTACTGTCCCTGTTCACTGCTGAAACGCACCTTTCACATCTGTGCTAGGACCGATGGAGAGGCACTACGCTCTTAGAAAAGAATTGACAAGTATCAGAATCAGTCTGAGCAGAGAAACACTCTCCCTACATCTCTTTTCTCACAGCTGGCATTGGACACAAATAAGGGAATAGGGATATGTGTGTTACATGTCATGTAAAGTCTTCAGCATTTTACTGGTGCCTTACGAACTACTGTTTGTGCTTTTTAATACCCCCGTTGCTATAACGACCAGCATCTTGCCCCACCTAAGAGGACTTTAAGTCTAAAACACTCGGAACAACTTGTTCTTCGTATTTAATCCTTAGTCCATCTGACCAAGACTCAATATGATTGTACTGAGTACCAAAGATATTTGTTTCTCTTTTCACACCAATACTTTTCTTACTTTCTCTGGAAAGGAAATTAAAAGTGGGGGGAAAATGACTCATGAAATGGATATTCCACACTATTAATACATCATCTAATAGGTGTTGTGCATTAGTGTCTCTGACGTTATGACCCAAGCAGCCCCCCCCCAAACGGCTGATAGCTGCTGGGCTAGAGTGTTTTATCATTATGTCCTAGTCAAAAACATATGGCTCCTATTTGGATTACAATGAGAAAAACAAAAGAACATCTGTGCTACATATCAAACTGGCATTTAATGATTAATTGCCTCCTGTAGTGTGTTTTAGGCCTTGGTCTATTGGGCTGGTGTTTAAAAAAAAAAAAAAAAAAAAAAAGCGTTTCTGCTTATCATTTTCATTCAACTATCGTAGCAAGGTGCCACAATGTACAAATCAAATTTTTAGTGATGCCATTGCATGATACATTTCAAATCGTTCTATTTGAACACGGAAGGTGAGTGAATACAAAACTGAAGACAATCCAGTTAAAATACTTAGATATAATCAGGTGTTAAGGTCATTAAATTAAATGTTCGTCACATTCAGTCTGCACGGTCACATTAAATATGAAAGTTTTCATTTACTAGGTTCATTTAGTTGAAAACTTTGCTGTCAGTCATGAATTTAGACACCATAACACACCAGCTCCCTCTTCCCTGATGTTATGATCTTTCCTAGTTGTTCTAAGGATTACACAAACAAACATGTTAACCATCATAAAAGTTAAAGTGGCTACTGTGTGGGATACACCCAGGTTATTCCAGACCAGAGGACAGTAAGAGCCTGTGGAGACTGAAGTCAGCTGTTGTGCCCTGATAGTGTACCGCCTCCCTCAGCAAAATTCAGCATAAGAAAAGCATCAGATTTCCAGACATATGCCCATGTATCCGTCTATGTTGCTGTCTGCGGGTTTTACCAGATGCCCTGTGACTGTGACAAAGGCTGTGTTTAACTGAAATCATTTGAGGGTAATTTAGTGCAATTTAGCCACAGCAACATGTTAATGGGGCGAGGATTTTCAAACAAGTCAATAAACCTGTACATGCACCAGCGTATAGGTTGTCTCAACAGCTGAGCACTCAACTGTAAGAGCAGGTTGTGCTTGGCTCTGCTCCACGAACCTTCAATTATAACAGGTTTACAGGCGCTTCTCTGTTTCTCCAACATATAATTAAAATCCAGTGCTAATGGGTTTTTCTCTCGCATTCTGATGTGAAGTAAATCACGGCTCATGTATGATTGTTCTAGCTTTCTTTTATGTATAAATGCAAAGCAATAAAACAAAAGAAACCATCAAAGACCTGCATCTAATTGCTTACTTATTTCTAACAAGCTGACATCTGTATATAAAAAGCAGGGGCTACACGCAGCCAGACAACATAAATAAAAACAGGATTGTGAGGAAAACCACAGACAGTTTTGCTTTGTCAAACACAATCATGTAATTAAACGCCTGTGTGGCGCAACCTGCACCCCCTTCTACTGTAACATCATGTTACCGGTCAATTTGCACAGTTTGCGCAATTGGCACGAGAGCTCGGAAATGCAGCTAAAAGGTGTGAGAGTAAACAGCTCGATCAAACATGGAAAAGCATTGAGATGTGAGGGAGCTTCATGCGTCGTTACTGTACGTTAGGCTGCGTGAGAGTTCGGGGCGACCCACTCTCAACAACAGGAGGGAGCAAAAAGTTTTCTCGCTGTTTTACCTTTAGGAAGAGGCGCGGGAGCTTGGGGTGTTTCAGTAGAGTAGACACAATTTGAAAACTTGATCCAGAATGAAAACACAAAGCAAAACTTGAGGTACTCCATAGCTGTTATAGTGCGTGTTCCCGGACAGAGCGCTGGGGGACCAACTGGACTGTCGCCTCCTCCTCTCAGACCCACAGCAGTGGTCAGGATTAACCCCGCGGGGTCGTAATGTGCGCTCTCGCGATAATAAAATAATAAACGGGGAAAAAAAGAAAATCCTCTGGTGAATATCACTTTTTCTGGGCAAGCGGTTCTTGAGACGGCTCGCTCTGCTCCAAGGAGGGGTAGCAGCCTATAAGTACTGCAATTCAGGGGACTTAGAGCAACAGGCGTGGTTCCTTAATTGCAACTGCAGCCACTTGGGCTCCCGGTGAAGTTCCTGCCCGTAAAGAGAGAGAGAGAGACGGTGGAGGAGGAAAGATAACGGTATTCACCCCTGACACAGGGACGTCCTGCGCGAAAGTGTGACTAAGCACAGCTGTATTTGAACCCCCCACCCCCAAACTGTTAAATATCCCTCCCCTGGTCCCCTCCCCCTGCGCACTCAGCGCCTGTCTAACACTAAACCTCCTCCACAGTACACCCTGCCCAGAGACTCAGCAGTGTAAGCCCTGGAATAAAACTTCAATATCACACCTTAAAACTGTTTTATTCATTATTTTCCCTTTGTTCTGATCACATACAGTAGTCCACATGTCCCTGTTTTATCAATCTATATAGGCCAGTCTAGCACGACAGTGCCTCTATACAGTGGAAGAACTATATAGATCCCTCTCTTAAGTTAAATGTAAAAATACAATGTTACAGTAAAGTCCTGCATTGACAGTCATTACCAGAAAAATATAGTGTGGAAGTAAAATTAGTTTGAATCATTTGTTGTATCATTTATTCACTTTGTTATAATTTTGTACTTCCAGAACAAACTCTGTACCGACTGTGTGCTGGGTGAAGAAAGTGAACACATCATGTTAATGTGTTCCAGATGTTCTATGTTCAGGCTTCTTTTCTCTGGCAACTATAAAACTCACCTATGTTCATCATCATAAGTAGGTTAGTGACTATCCAGTTCATGGACAGTTCATGGCTTCTATCCAATTGGTTAATATCATGTTGTTTTGGGCAAGTAGCCAATCATGGCCTTCATCTTTACTATAAATTACACCTTAGTCTTCTGTTCGAGCAGATTCTCCCCTTGGTTTCAAGGTTGTAGGGTACCTGTGTGCAGTATTTTCCTCAACCATCAGTGTTGTGCGTGTTTATTTCTGTGCAGTGTTTTTCTCTAAACACACGAACAGTAAACAGTAGCTACTTGTTATGTAAGCTGTTCCCTGTCAGAGTTGAATTATATGTTTATTCATTTTTTTTTTTTTTATGTATTTCTTTTGATCCCCAAACAACCCAAAGCAACTACTACTCCTGCCGTCCACACACAACAGTGTGATAAAAATCCAAGGTAAAAGAAAAGGGGAAAAAATACAATGAATCAACAACATAATAACAACTACAATGACAAAAAGTACCCACTCTACAACATAAGTATTAATGGGACATAATAGTCAGTAAGACATTTGATACATTTGATGGTAAATGACTAAGAAATTCCTCTTTAATGATCGTATAGTCATGTATGGAACGACTCCGTATTTAGGATTAGGTTTTCTTTAAACCGTTTTAATTGTTAAATGTATAATGTCTGATAGCAAACCATTCCAAATTTCCACTTCTCTGTACATAACAGTACGCCACCTTTGTCTAGCATTAAAGTTCTGTACATTACTACTATATGGACATTGATGGTACAGAACATTTGGAGTTTTAGCCAAATTAAATATATGAACACAGAAAGAACCATCCTCCCCTTATGATGTTAACTCTTTTGTTACAGTTCTGGGTCTTGACCACACTATAATGTGATGACTGAACAATTAGAGAAGTGCATCAACTGTTGAATATTTTCGTCTGCAAATTATTATTATTATTATTATTATTTATTTATTTATTGTTTTTTGAATTGTTTGATAGTCTAAGTTGTCTGAACATAGTGAAGAAATAAGCCCATCGCAATTTCCCAGAGTTCAAAGTGACATTTTTATGTTGCTTGTTTTATCGGACAAGAAAAGACTAAAGAAATAATAATGATAATAATAATCATAATAATGATAATAATAATAAAATCTTATATAGTATGAAAAGCTAGAAAGAGAGTTTGGGGGAATTTTTTGCTTGAAAAAAGTTGTCAAATTTTTGGTCGATGGATTAACCAAGTAATCACTTCAGCTGTACTTTCTGCCATTCCTCTGCACAGCACAGTAGATAACCCCATGACCTCATCTCACCAGTGACGGCACACATATATGAAATAGTTGAGCTGCAGATGCTAGAGCTGCTCCTGCTCCCCTACAGCAGTGTGCTCTCACACACAAGGGAGAAATGAAGAGGAAAACAGAAACCAGACATTACATCCAGCTTCCATTTACCGTCTGATTCTATCTGTGTCTCCTAGTGTCTCAGCTGACCTTGAAGCCAATGCTTTGTCTCATTTGTGACTTTCATTCCTTATTAGGAGTAACAGACTTGCCCTGTGGCTCAAACCGTTTCTAAACACTTTGCATTGCAGTTGCGAAGACTTCCAGTGCCCAGATTGTTTTACTAAATGACCTCACCGCGTTCATGGTTTTTGAATGCAGAGCCAGTAGAGGCAGAACTTTTTTTTAATGAGATAAATTGCTTCACTTCAGTGGGGCCCTGATAAACCTCGAAAACTTAGGACCATGCCAGAAAACTCAACATAGAGTACTTGAATTGGACTTCAGCCATTCGTCTTTACTTTAATTCAGCATGCCGCTGACACTAAGGAAAGCCAGGCACATTCATAGGAATTCAAGAGAAAATTACCAGTGGACTCTTGCTGTCTAACTCTCTCTCAAATAGGAACACATTCAACCTAAAAAGGAAATCCCCCCTACTGTGAAACTCAAATAAATACAAATTAAGTTGGCTAACGTCTAAGCAGACTTACAAAGGTATCAATGCTATTATTTGCAATCAAAATGAGCTTTAAAAAATCTGTTATATAACAGCTCAGTGACAAATATCTAAAGGGCTTTTTGCCCTGTGGGTTAGTGAGGGAACTATCTGCAGCTGGAAGATTAAAGTGTTTGTGGTAGAGAACCACATGCTGCATCTTGGCAGGATGTGATAGGGAATATGCTTCAGTTCAGTGGCACAACTCTGAACACCCACCAAACATTTTAGAAAAGCTAGTGAAATGTCCTCTGGATTTGATTAAACCCTGACAAAATGTCCAGAACTTGTATGAGTGGTTTAAAATCCCATCAGAGCCCTGTGCGGGGAGACATGATATACTGTAGAAGTTTGTCAGAATCATGAGGCCATCCAGTTCAGCCATGTATCTTTACTGGGTCGGGATTTGCAGATTTCTAGAATGTGACACCTCTTAACTGCATGCAGTGGCGGCAGTGGCACTGATGGCAAGTTTAAACTTAGTATAGGCTACATGTGGTGTGGGTGAAAATTACATTTAATTACACATAAATTGCCATATACAGCATGCATAAGCTGAGAGACTGCTGCGGTAAGAGGGGTGAGGATGGAGTAGAAAGCCAGGAGCTCATCAGGGCAACCACGCACAATTGCACATAATTATCCCCACTCTATATCAACTTGGGTGTCAATGGGTGATAGTAGACTTTGGACTGCAAGCACACGTGGACGTACAGCTAAATACAGCTGTTCACCAACCTGAAAAGAGAGCACTGACTCTTGGGAACTTTCCTACTGCACAGGTGGCACGCTCCAAAGCCTGCTTTTTAATTTTGGTTTATTTCAGTTCCAAATAAAACACACAAGCCTCCAGCCTCTACCGTCCTTGCATTAGTAAAAGACTAAACAGTGTTGCAGCGTCCTGACAACAGTAGAGCATCATCTATTTTCAGCACTGTTGTGGAGACAGTGGGTTTACAGGCGCTGTTTAAATTTAATAAAGCTGAAAGTAGAAACAGATGATTCATCAGGGAGACTCTAAAGGACATACCCTAATTTTGAACATAAAGCTAAAGATTCCTTAAAGGAAAAAGAGGAATCCATGAAAAAAGGGGGAAAGTATCTCTGAAATTGTTCTTCCAGTCATCTACCGATTTTTATGACGGCCATCAATAATTTTGACCGTATAATCTAAAAAACAATGTGTTCTCCCTTTCATTTTTGCCAGTGCATTGCTTTAGGCAATATCTAAGACAAAATCACAGACCTGTCAGTGGTTGGGACACACCTTGGACTTCTTTCTACTCTATTTTTGACGTAACCCTCTTTTGGTGGTACAGCCGGATGGTTTTGCAATTGGTGGTGAGTCACATACCCGAGACACATGGTGCCCCTTAACCTTTCTTGGGGAACCCACAATTGCACCATGATTTTGAAAGAAAGGGTTTTAATTTTATCCAAAATGCTTTGATCACTCCGCAGAAAGTTAAATTACTAGTACAGATCAATGGAAAGGGCAGCACTCCATTCCTTCACTCAGCTCATCTTCTTAACAAATCATCGCTACGTCATCCCTGGCCCACTTCTGTCTACGTTGGTTTTCACTTACGAGGCCACAAGGCATCCATTGGCTCATGGTGTGGTCTTTGAGTTTCTGGGAGGGGTTTCATCAACACCACATTTAATCCAAGACCAACGAACTTTAACAAGCACAGCAAGTACATTTTAAATGTCACCTCAGTGTCTGGCTGCAAAAGGGGAAAGGGGTTAGATGGATTAATTCACTTTGATCACGATCTTTCATCTATTTTTTCGTCCTGACCTTACCGTAAAGCAAATGACTGTACATTCAATTCTGAATCAATGCACAGTTGAAGTTGTTTGCGACTTTCAAACTAGTGCGATTTTCAGTCCTATAAATTTGCATCTCGACTGAATAGGCTGGGGTTTTTGGGCAGTGTTCCTTGAAAATTACACATAATAAGCTCTTTACCCAGCCTCTCATTTGAATGTCACCATTAGGCGGCCATGTTAAAACCACAAGGCTCCAAAAACACACCAGAAGTAGGTTGAGGAGAAGAGGATTCACCCTTGCATTAATCCTCTACTACCACCGCCACCTCGCTGTCTTAAAAAATATGTTTATACTCTACTAATGAGATTTTCCAGGTATAGTTTGGAGGAAACTTAATTAATGCCTGGATTCCATTCACTGAATATTTTTTTTACTGTTCAAAAAGGGTGACATCATTATAATACCCAGAAATGACAGGGAGGGGACTGGGATTTGGGTCCTGTGTCCCACATATTGTTAGTACTAGCTACCTAAATACTATGATCATTTCCTAACCATAACTAAGTCATCTGAGTTGCTGTGGATGTTCAGTGCAGATGACGCTCAACATACTGTTTGTCATTACAATATGTTGATTGAAAATGCATCTAAGAGGAAGATTGTTTCCTATAAAACATAGTTACTAAAGCAAAAGGGGAAAAAACATGTGTATTAGCATCATTTTTAGGCGACAGGACTCTAAAATATCTCCAGATGTTGATTTGTTCTTAGGAAATACCAGTGTAACAGTAAATAACCAACCCCCATTTTATATTACATTTGCTGTCTTTCCCCCCACTTGTGTGAATGCAGTGTTTCCTAGGCTGCATTTGTACAGATGTCGCTCCAGCTATTTGTTTATTACAGTGGGTTTAAAGCACTGATACCAGAAATTCCAGTTACTGTGTGCTGCTGGGAGCCAGCTACAAACATTGAGTAAAACTGCATTTAGCTGCCAGTGTGTGCTGAGCTCCAACATTGGCCAGAAACAGAGTTAAAACATAGTTTCCATTAAGACTGTAGTTTCACTGATTTGTAATCACAACCTTAACAGCACAGAAAACACTACCAGTCAATTCATTTTAAGGTCTTTTCAGAATTATCCAAAGTGTGTGCAGTACGTAAACCCAGCAGTTCAGTGAAACAAACAATAGAAGAACTTCAGCCCACAGTGAGAGTGTTTACACTGAATGTGTCATTCATTGCAACACAAGGCTGATTATTTACGACAACTGGCTCGTTTGCTTCAATCACAAAGGCAAGGCAAGTTGTTTGTATTGTAGTTTGTTTGCATTCCCCGACTCCCGGACATCAAATTCCATTGGGTAACAAATTGTGTCATTTTTGAAGACATGTGACCTACAATTATTACACATTTAACGGGCAACACATTTTAATAGGAGTCTAATTATTAGGGGACTCAATGGGGGTGATGCACAAAAACAGAATCCCACATACTATAGTTTGAGGAAACAGCTGTGTTTTTTCCACTTTGGGATGTGTCTGCCAGCAAATCATTGCAATGACATCAGTGCCATCCCTTGTGTGTGGCCTGGTTGTTCAGTTCGTTCCAAAGGAGCAGTGTTGCTCTACATCATTTCATCTTACAGCACAAAGTTTCACAAATCAGGTCTCTTCAGTGGTGTAAGCCCCAGAGAGGATGATTTCTAAGGAAGTCTCAGCAGTTCATTTGCAAGGAATTTGTGGGGAACAGTGGGCAGTTACACATTAATCTCTTCTAACCGCAGCTGTTCCTGTACAGGCTTTTAGTTCGACAAAGTTTTCAGTGAAATTACTTGGAATATAAGGTCACAAGGAGTTCAAAGGTTTAAGGTTTAATGTCAACCAAGAATCAAAAATTACAGCAGCAATTCATTTGAGCCTACAGCAACAATAGAAGTGGTGTTGTAGAGGGAAGAGAAAAAGCAGCTTAGATGCGTGTCTAATACCAGCATGCAGCATACCAGTTTATGTAGGTAGTGGAATTCATTCCAAATTTGTTTGTGGTCTTGTTTGTGTGTTTAAGTGAAAAAATTGTGAACAGATTTCGATGAATTTTGGTGTTAGGTCATGGAACAACCACATGGTGGGCTAGAGGAAAATCAGGTGATCACTAAAGTTGGTAAGATTCATCCGCTAGGACCCATTAACATCTGTTCAAAAAATATAACTGCAATCCATGTAGTAGTTGTTGAGATACTTCAATCTGGACCAAAGTGAACTGATTAAATGTCAGGCAGGCTTTGCAAGAACCATGCTGCCAGAAAATGTTGTCATATCATCAAAAAATGGAATTACAAAAGAAAAAAGGAATCATCCCTATCCATGTCCTCTCTGGCCCTACATGTACACGCCTCCACTGTTCACATTGTTTTCCAACCACAGCTTCATAAGATATAGAATTCCGAGCAGTACTGCCTCACATGTTCCAGAAAGTCGCGCCAGGCAATGTGTAAAAACCATCACAAAAAAACGTTGCATTTACCAAGACTTGCAAAGACATAGAAGTTTGAGATAGTAAAAAACTATTTATAGGAAAGTTTAAATGTAAGAGACGTGGTATCAAATATTTAGTATCACTAGAATCACCACTGACCACAGCAAAAATTTTGGGTGATTTTTTTTTTCTCTTCCGTCAATCAAATATCATAATAAAAAAGATTCTATTGTTCCAGAGGGGTAACAGGAGCTGTTCCAAACTGCACCAGAAACAGCAAGGATTGAAGCATGACCTTCTATTCCAGCCTTCCTCTTTACCCAGTCTCAGAGTAGCTCATTTCATTGATGTGTGATTAAAAAAAATCTTTAAAAGGAGAGTTTTTTTAGGTTACACCCAAGGTTAACAGCTTCAGGTTAATGGCTTATTTGAAAACGGAGAAAATTAAATGTTCTCATTTCGCTTTTCATGTTATCGTTCAAGGACATCTACGTTTGACGTAATCAGTCCAGTCAATTACTCTGTGTGGCAGATTTTTGCAGCAAAAAAAAAGAAAAGAAAGAAATTTTACCTGAGCACTTTAAGAAGACTACTTAAAATAAGATGAAGGTGGTAATTACAGTAGCGTGTGAACTCAACTAATTAACAAGCAAGGCTCAGTGGTTTTACATTACCCTTTACAAGGTCCGACTATTGTAACACTCAAAGTTAGTAACTATATTGAAATGACTAGAGGCCAGATTAAAACAATCAAGTAGTTTTTTAAGCCTAATGGATCCAGTGATGTAAGGAAAAAAGTTGAAAAGAACTTCACACGTCACACTGTTGTGTTTTATTGAAGTGTTTCCATTGACTGTTTGCACAATTTAAGCTTAGCTCACAGAGTTAGGTTGCATTCATTGCATGACTAAATGGTTAATCAGTTCACAGTATTAGTGCAAAAGTAGAAGAATAAGTATTTTAACTGTTTCTCATATGACTGACTAGAAATAGCTGAATTCCCTTTGTATCACATTCTGACTTAAATTTTTGGCTTTTAAACACAATCAAAGAGGCTTCAGAGGATGTAGTAGCAGCAATCTTATACTATTGATGCATTCTACTCAACATGACATGCCAAATGATCAGGCTAGTTAATGGCAAGAATATAATTAAAATGTACATAAATTGAGTATTTTCTCAACAACTTAATCCATGAAATCAGAACAGACTGCAAAAACATCCATCTTAAGTACTTAATCATGTTGTTTGTCTTAAAAATTGATCTTAAAAAATGCTGCTCTGAAAGACAAATACACTTGTAATTGTACAAACAAGTGTCATTACATTGAAGGCCGAAAAATAACACTGGCAACACAAGAAAATCTCTTAGCCAGGTCTCCCAGCTGTCAGTTTATAATACTCTATACAAAAATAAAAGCCTTTATGCTTGATACCTGTTAAAATGACTTAAGATGGGTGTTTTTAGCAGTTTTCCAGAGTCTCATGTGGAGAAAACTTTATCATGCTACAAAAAAATGTTAATGGCCTTAATGTTTATGTAGCACATAAATAATATCTTTGCTACAATGATCAGATTGCCATTCTCTTTAAATCAATTTTACAATGATGCAGGGTGCACTGCAGTATCAATGGCCATTTGATGGAAGGTTTTATCTGACTTTTTGATATGTGCAGAGCTGTCACATGTGTAATGTAACAGTGGAAAAGATCAAAATTAAAGTTGATAGCAGGATATTCAAGCAAATCTGACATATGACATGTATATTTAGATGATTTAATGTATAAAACCTCCTCTCAAACATTGATAGTATTAGGCGCAGATGCGTAATTCCTGTAGCCAGCAGCAGCCAACACTATATTACAGTAGCATGCATTTCAACCTGAGTTTGTCCAAAAATAAACCATGTCATCAGACACTGATATTTGAATAAAAACCTATGGCATAAGCAAGTATTGAGTTTGTTCATTTAGGCTGTGTTGGGTTATTCTTACACAACAAGCTAGCTCCCTCTTGTGGACAAGACTGGTACAGCACACAGCTGTAACCTGTCCATTCCCAAATAAAAAAAAAACCTACTTAGTTGACAATGCATAATTATTATGGCATTGTAAATATACTTTGTATCCTGTGATACTTTATGTTTCCGTTTACACACAGAAGTACACTCATAGCACACATACACATACACAAAGCTGTGCGCGCACACGTTGCTCTATGTTGACAAAGTGCTAAACAGACAAAATAAATAAATAAATAAGGGAGTTGAATATCTAGACTACAATCTACTATATTACATGAGTCCTTCAGGTCTCACACAATATAGCTAAAAACATAGTTTTCTCTATAAATTAACATCTTGACTATTAATACGACCAAACTACACAAGGTTGACCGTCTTTGCATCCAAACTATAATGACAGTAATCCTTCTTTCACAAACTGAATAATAGCACTTGTCTGTAATAGTGTTTCCTCTTCAGTCACTTGTATATGAATGTTATCATTCTATTCAAGTTTTTTTTTAGTAGTAAGAAAAGACACTCACAGCCCATGTTTTAACAACCAACCTGAGCAGCTAAGACTAAAACAAACCTTCTATTTCATTGTTCATGCAAAATTATAACACTTAGGTAACTCCTGGTACTTTCTTTAAACTATCCGTTTGAAGGTTGTTCTGTGTTAGGGCTTTTTGGACTGATCATTGTGGCTTTGTGGCCTTGTTCTTCCAGGAATGTTGAATGCTTTCATGGAAATCCATTTCGGCTCCTAGTTAGTACTCTCAAAGAACATGAAATCCTGTATAGAAAACAAAGAACAAAATGTTAATTAAAAAGCAAACACGTTAAATTAACATTAATCTAACGCCTAAATTCAGTTAAAATATATCAGCCAAGGTGTAGGAAGTATTCACTGAGAAGTCACGGCAGCATTTTTAGCAAATGTGACTCGTGCTACTACAGAAAGTAGCTCTGTAAAGCTGTTTTGCATTTGTGGTGATTGGGGTGGTTTCAGGTCACATTTCCCACAAAATGTAGGCTAAGTGGTACATTAAGTGGCAGGTACATGAAATTTCCGACTACTGGTGAAGAGAAACACATTCCCCATAAAAGCTGGGTCACATGAGGTTACTGCATCTGTAATAGCCACAGTTCTGGCAGCAGTTAATTTACACAAATATAACTTCACAGGCAATGATGCTACTTTTTGACAAGTTGATATTATGTTATCTTAAAATGCTTGTTGTTGCACTTACAATGAGGAAACATGCACCGATCATTACAGCCTTCATTCTCACATCCAGATCCATGGGGAACTGGATACCAAAGTTGTCTGAATCTGTGAACGCTTCCCGCAGAAGTCCGGTCCATTGCTTACTGATTTTCCCAATCTTGCTGACTTCGTCCAGTGTCAAAATCTGAGGAAAGAATTACATAGAGGACAAATTGCTGACATGTGTTGCATTAGGATTGTTTGGTTATATATGAAGGAGATCATTGTACAATCCATAATCCCATCCAATGGCATCTTTTTGCCTGCTGCCACAGTAACTGGAGTTCAGTATCCCCAGTAATAACTTCAAAGCAGCTAAGGAGGCACTGGGATGGTAATATCATGCTTCAGTTACCCCTCCTCTGGGTCTGGTTAAAGGTCTGTATCACTGACCCAGATCCTTTCACAGCTCAGTCTAATAAAACCAGCTGAGCCATGGAACAATGGTCACACTGTACCACACAAGTGCATGCCCTGTGCGATGGCTTCATCTAAGCTATAGCACGCTCTGATTGGAAACATATTTCCTGCTTTCCAGAGCACGAGGAGGATCCCTTACAAGAAAAATTCCCAGAAGGCGAGAATGTTACCGTGTCGTGTTATGTTTTCACAAATTTAATGGATTTCTGTGTTTAGATAAACCCACCTCAAAGTCAACATCTGGAAGGCAGCTCCACCCACAGAAGGGCCCATGGATCTTCAGTACAGGCTCACAGTGTTCGTTTGCAACGATGAATTTAGGGGAGAATGGGTGCCACTGCTGCACAACGTACCCCACTGTGTTACCGGGGGGAGCCTGCACCTCCAGCTGAGTGAAGGATTGTTGGAGAGCAGAGTGTGATTTGTAGTCATATCCTCAATAGAAACTGTTTCAAAAATACATGTAAAACTAGAAGATGTGAGGTGTCAACAATATACTGAACCAGAACCATCTTGAACACTGTAATTTCATAAGGTGCTCACAAGGTGAACGTGTTTAAAAGTGGCTCCGCTCACCTCTTGCAAACAGCAAGGGAAGAAGCAAGACATGCACTTAAGTGGTCTGGTGACGGTGATGATCTCTTGTCCGAAATTGTCGAGGACGTGGATGGTGAAGGAGCGCATGGGACCACAGCACTGTCGACTCAGGCAGTCGTTCTCCTCGACAGCGTAGAACACATTCTGACCCATGACGTTACGGACTTCATACTTGTTGTTGCTTTCGAAACCAACAAGGGCTGTATGGAGAAGAACAATATGTATGAAGATGTTATTGCCAAACACACGTGACTGCACAGAACAAACCCAGCAGCAGAAATGTTTTCTTTTTGCATGTTTACTTACTGTACCTTCAACAACCTCAACTTTTTGTTTGATGAGCAGCTGATCCACCTAAAAAACCAGATAACCACATACATTTGATTTTAAATCTGCAATTTCCTTTCCCTTTTAAAGGCAGTGGTTCAGCAGAGGGTGGGGGGTGGGGGGCTGGGGGGGTCGAGTGTTGAGAAAGTTGGCATAAACATGCCCCTATTTTGCATCTGGGTAATAAAAGCACATGCTTACATTCCTAATATAACACTGACAGGACTAGTGTGGTTAAACAAAGTTTTGGAAATGCAAGCATGGCTACCCCATACAATGTCAGATTTCCAGTCAGTAGGTTTATTTCTAAATACTAAAACTGTCCATAAATATACTATCATGACACTGTGGGACTCAGTTTTCTATACCTCCTGCTGCTGACACATCCTTGACTGTTTGTAAATTGGAAACCCATCTATTCCGGTGTCCCATTAAGCCATTGGCAGTGTGACAGTGAGCCAGCATGCACAGTAGCAGGACCCTGAAACTGTTGCAGTTAAAATAGAATTCAGCCATATTTAATTTTATTATTTATTTTGTTGGAACATTGCCTTGTCACATGTAGGGTGTGAGATGTACTAGTTTGATGAAATGCATCAGTTGAGAAAAGTACTGTATTAGTCTGTAATGCGGTATCACAGGCATGTTGATGTGGAATATCTATGCCTTGACTAACAGCGATATGCAAGTGATAGGTCACTGGAGTATGTGGCACTTACACTTCATTAAACATATGTGTAAGAAAAAACAAACAATAATTTAAATACTTACTTGAGTCAGGTATTCTAGTCCTGGTGGACAGCCGGGTATTCCCGGGCTGGGCACAGCATACATATTCATTTTGTCAGACTGGAGGGAGACCTGTTGATGAAAACGGAGATATGGCGCCATCTTGTGTGCATTTGCGTGACAGTCATAAACAAATGGAGATATATCACGGCAGACGGACAGCGGTTAATATGTTTTTTTCTGTCTGTCTGTGTATCGTGTGTGAGCAGCAATGTAGCACCATTGTACTTTTTCTGTACTGTGCAGGCTTTTAATAGCACGAGTAAACGGAGAAGTAGGCTATAGCAACGCCCACAGCCTGGGGGAGGTGCTGCAGCCCCGCATGGTGGGCGACACAGTTATTCTTGGTTTATCTGGAAGTGACGGGCTTCTGACGGGAAGACACCACCATGAGAAATCCTCTTACTCTGTGTGTGTTAACACGTACATCAACAGGCCTTAAGCCCACACAAGCTTCGCCGCTCGTGTCTAAAAATGTAGGTCATTTAACTGCACATCTCTGTGACTCATTATGTTAAATGAGTGATGTTCGCTGCCCATGTACGTTTCATCAGTGGGTAAAGAGAGCGCACGCCGACGGGTGATCTGTCTACTTTTTCATCCAGAGGAGACAGCGAGTTGTTAAAAGCGACTTCCTACCGCCAACACTGAAGTACAGTCTTACATAGGCTACATTTTATATTAGCAGCGAGACACATAACTCTTATAATCGGAATCAGAAATACTCACCGATATTTCACCTGCTACATAAAATAATAACAGGCCACTCCGGAACCAAGCCCGTGGAATAAACCTCTAATCTCATTGGTCGGTGTCATAATACTTCCCATATTCATGCGCCAATGGCAAAACAGGAGTGTAGAACTGAGCACAACAGAGCCAAATAGAACAGACTACACTAGAACAGGATCGTCAACAATAGAAAAGACCAGACTAACGATAAGTTGCCAATTTGCACAATTAAACAGGCTGCCATATAGAGGGAGTGCATATAAGTTTGCTCATTTTGCAGCAGCCGTGGACTACTTCTGGTGTTTCTCATTAGTAAACAGTTTGTTAGCAGCATAAAAGAGGATTCATTGGGGGAGTGTGTCAGGAATATTTAGTGATAATAGAGCAGCAGATTTTTATTGGTCATCCTCTAGATGTCGCCATTAATACAGACAAACACACAACATGCACAGCACAATGAGATCCAACAACAACCTTACATCATGGCACAGTTTGAATATTAAATCTGGAGTAGCCTCTTTTTGCTACTTCAAAATATAAGGATATTTTTAAACTGGGATTATGCTAAGAGAAGCTGCTGTTGTCTTTCTTTAACACCAAGAGACACTGTTACACCAAACTGATATTTTGACAAACATCAACCAGATTTGAAGATTTTATTCTTGTTTGCATGGCTTACAGTGACATTTCAGACGCATATTGGCATTTGTTTCATTTTAAATATGGAGTTGGATTTAGATTTTACGATGTAATGGATTCTGTTGTCATTTCTTTTAATATCTCCCATTCCAAGTTTGCATGTGATGTGTTGGGCGATGGCCATATGGTATTTGAAGCCAGTATGATGTAAGAATGATGTAAGACAATGAACATCGCCTGGCCTAAAACCACTGCTTAGTTTATCACTGTATGAAACTGTCAGCTGCTTTCAGTGTTATTAGCAAGTAGGTCATAAGCCACTTAACGTTGAATACATCACAGGCTACTGATAAACCTGTTTATCTTGCAATGACACATGCACATGGATATTAGCATGAAAGAAAAGAAGTTTAACTGGCTGCAAAGTCTATGCAAATGTTTTTAAAAGATAAAGTGTTTTAATCCTTAATGTCCACACAAACATCCCTATAACCCACCCACAGTCAGAATATGAGTAAATGCAGATTTTTAGGATTTATAATCATAAAAACACACATTTTCAATAACAGTATGTGTGTGGAATATGTGTAGATACAGTGCATGAAGACTGAATGAATGCTATGCTCGAATAATAGCCTTGCTCTCCTGAAGTTGTATGTATACTATCAGGTGCTAAGCACAGAGTGTGTTAAATTTGCTGCGTTCTAGCAAATTGCATGTTATGAGAAACACAATAGTTTTGCTGTCCCTACAATGCAGTGGTAGAGTAATTCTTAACAGCTGTAGCCACAAAGCTGTACTGCACGTCACTCAGCAGCACACACAAGCAATAGAGACATGAAGGTAAAAGTTCTTTGGATATGCTTTTGAATAGATCAAGGTACCACTCGTGAGGACATTGAAAAAACGGCACTGCTGGATTCCTTCTGACATGTTTCAGGTAGAGTTCAGGGAGGTGTTGAGTCTGTTTTCCTTTGAAAACGATGGGGGATAAAGGTAGAAAATGTATTAACTTAAGAATTGAATAGTATTTCAAATTGTGTTTTTTGTGCGTTTATTATAAGGCAAAAGGCTGTAGACACTGACCAAAAGATGATGTCACTTCCTGCAGATATACTGGAGATCTTAGCATGGGGGAAAAAGTCTTATTATTCATAAAAATTATTATGAATTAGTCAGCAGATTGTTTTGTCATCGTCACTTATATTTTTGTCACAGCTCAACTGGATTGCTTTTTCATAAAACCTAGCCTGCTAACTATAAGTCATCTGATAAATTTACTGATGACAACAGTGTAGAGAAAGACAATGTTACCATGTTAATTAAGAAGCAACTATTGGCAGATAAAATACATGTAACAGAGCTGGGACTTGATGGAGACTGAAAAGCAATTCATGCTAAACAAATGAGAGACAAATGTCCTGTGAAACAGGTGATCTCTAACTTTTCTTGCATACTGTAAGAAGCACAATGAAGCTCATTTACCAGATTAGGTTTTAGGATTTTGTCGGCAACTATTTCCTGTTGTTTGTGTTGTTTCAAACATCAGTAGTTAACAGCATGCTGTTTGTAAGTTGTAAAACAGAAATGGAAGAAGCTGAAATAGAAAAAATCTTTACACACAGCTAATGTGCACTTGAACTTTATGTGCAGGTTATAATACTTTGTATCCACTGGAGAGCAGTGTTGAGCTAATGATGCTCGGCCTCATGGCCATTACTAAGACTAATGCAGAATTTGCCTTTTCATTGTAAAACAAAATAGTCACAAATAGACACACACAGATATACACACAGTACACACACACACTCACAAACATACTTGCTACTCTGTTACAAATGACATGACGTTGTTGGGTCGAGTATCCTTATTTGCGAATACAAATTACCTGATTTCCTCAAGCGCTACTGATTTCTCCAAGAAACCCTAATGAGAACAAATGATGACTCGCGTGCAGATCTGCTGACACTTCAGGCACAGACAACTAAAAACATGTTTTAATTGATTCATGTTACAGCAATTGCTTACAGTGACCTGAAATAGCCGAGGAAGCACTGCATAGACAATCAGTTGGGTGTTGTCTGCTTTACAAATAAACAGTTGTTTTAAATATAGCCTCAATATTTGCTTATATATATATATATATATACTTCTTTTTACTTTTTCTTCATTTTACATTTTTTACTTTTTCTTCATTTTACATTTTGTGTCATGTATTTAATGAAGCTTTAAAGACACTTTGTCACATGCAAAATAAGCTGAACTGCTGGTAGCATCAAGGGCCCATTTTATTATTATTATTCTAACTGCCCAACGCGAGCTCTAAAACTTATGTTCTTCATCAGTGAGATCAAAACAAAGTAATGCAATGACTTTGAAATGGTGGCGTTCTCCGCTCCCATCTGAATAAACAGAGCGGACAGTCAGGGGTCTTTGAAAGCCAGTCAGATTGTCTTTCTGACTCCAAAAGCCCAGTTACTCCCACCAGGGGTCTGAATGTGTGTGTGTGTGTGTGCGTGTGCGTGTGCGTGTATGTGTGTGCGCGCATGTGTGTGTGTACCAATTGTACAGTCTCTGCTCTCTACATTCCTACCTGTTTTACAATTTTTCTGTGTTTGTGGTTTTTTTTTGTTTTTTTTTTGGTGTGTGAAGGTGGTGCTCTTTACTCGCATGGGTAATCTTTCGTGCACTCCTAACGAGGTTGTCATATTCGCCGCATAATGAGGAGCCTAAAGATGAATGTAAAAATGCCTCCATTACACCGCTTTCATCCTCTTGTTCATTAGGTTAGCATAAGGTTACAATACATTACTCCAGTCCCAGTGTTCCCCACACACACACACACACACACACACACGATTGCAATAGTGTGTCACTGAGGGCTTGTGTGTTAGTTTGCCATGATAATCCTCATTCATGTACACACACAAACACACATACACACACAAGCACATAGTATTACCTGCCTTAACCCTTAGCTGAACCTCAACATAACTAAATCTGACTATTGCTTGTAATTTTTGGAGAGTAGGTTTTATAAATATCCACATCACAGCAATATGTAATTCACACCCACACGTACAAAAAAAATGCAAATCTATTTAGTATTTTTTCATCATCCGTGGATGTCCAAATTTGCCAAATTCACCGCTTTTGTTATTCCGTCTCTGTCTCTTCACCTCTGCCCATCCCTCACCTCCCTCCCTCTTTTTATTTCTCCCATTTCTGCACCCCTGTCAAGTGCTTTGTTTGCTGTGACTTTCCATGCGGTTATCTGAGCGGAGACAGTATGCCTCACCCTGGCACAGGACCTCAGTTTCCACGGCAACTTTATAATTGTTTTGGATGCGTTCCAAACGCCACTGGATACCGAGGCATTATTGATGTCAAAAGAAACATGTATGAAATGAGGAGATGTGGAGGCGTCCATATGGTTCCGTACACAGCCTCATGCAAAGCCATTTAACCGTTTTTCAATGGGAGTTTTGTGATACTGCTGAATAGATCCCACATGTGTCGAATGATATTTCATAATTTTGATCTTTCTGTATCACAAAAGGATAATGGCACGCAATGCAAGCCACTGAACTGTGCAATATTTCCCCTATTAATGTCATTAAGTCATTGTCACAGTATGCACTGCTGGGTTGAGTATGGTGACCTTATTGAATACAATATGTCCATCATAATGCTTTTTTTTTTTTTTTTTCCAAATGTCCAACTGAACACATGATGGAAAAATGAGAGTCTGCTGCACCAAAAGCTTCTCCAGAAACGTAAAGTACATCTCTGCCAGCCTCATTCACTTCAAGTAGTCTTTGTTTTGACAGGAGAGGCGGCATGAGTTATCCCAGCGCTTGTCACCATAACCATATTGTGACCCCCCCTGCCCCTTCTACCCCCCTCTTTCACCCCACTCCCCACCAACTCTCTCATGAACACACATGCTCACACACATACACACACACACACACACACAATCACAGCCTCGCAACACCTCTGTGCCATGAGCTGTGGCCACATTAACCACGACGCAGCAACACTCATTAAAATAACATATAGTGTCAACAGCAGTGTGGCCCCAAGTGGATAAACCCAAAATGCTTCACTCACAAATCCACAGACTAGTCTGTCTGTGGATTTGAATTCCCCTCCAAGCAGCAGGTTTGCTTCTTTACTGTTGCTTATTAAACTTATGAAACTCTTTCTGTGCCGTTATATCACAGAATATGTGATAAAAAAACCAACTGAAATAAGGTCCTGACTGATCTTTTTTCTCTGATCTCAAGCCTCCCCCCTCCCTCCGCTTAATTTATGACCTGTGAGGAGGAACCCAGGGAGTGAGAAGTGAGTGAGACTGGTGTGAAAGCCCTGAATAGAGCAGGGGCAACAGGCCCTCCAA